GGTGGGGAAAGCATAGCTGAAGCTGAGTCAGGGGTAAGTGGAGTGAGCGGATTATATAAAGCCCCTTTTTTGGCCAGTATAAGTACTTTGACTTTTAAAAGGTCTATGAAAAATAGACCAGTGAGGAAGGGGAGAGCGAAGTCAGAAGCAGGGAGAACAAGTTAGGAGGTTATTGTAGTATCCCTGGTGAGAGTTGATGGAGACTTGGCTCAGAGGTGTAGCAGTGGAGTGCTGAGAAGCAGTCCAGTTGTAGGTAGATTTTGAAGTTCAAGCAAAGAGAATTTGTTGATTGGATTGGATGTGGGGTATGAAGGTGGATCATCTGGAAGGATGGATTTGCAGTTACACCAGAACGAAACATTGCCCGATCCTGCGCCATCCTCACAATCGTTGCTATGTTTGAGCCCATTGTTGCAGCCACTGTGTCAATCCATTTCATAGACAGTCCTTCTCTTTTTTTGTTGACCCTCTACTTTACCAAGCATGATGTCTTTCTCTAGGGACTAGTCTTGCCATCCTGGCTTCCAAGGAGCATCCTGGCTGTACTTCTTCCAAGACATATTTGTTCATTCTTCTGGCAGTGCATGGTATGTTCAATATTCTTCGCCAGCACCATAATTCAGAGGCTTCAATTCTTCTTCAGTCTTCCTTATTCATTGTCCAGCTTTCACATGCGTATGAGGCAACTGAAAACACCATAGCTTCGGTTGGGTGCACCTTAGTCCTCAAAGTGATATCTTTGCTTTTAACACTTGAAAGAGGTCTTTTGTAGCATATTGCCCAATGCAACATGTAATTTGATTTCCTGACCTCTTTCCATGGGCTTTGATTGAAGATCCAAGTAAAATGAAATCCTTGACATCTTCAGTATTTTCGCCATTTATCATGATGTTGCTTATTGGTCCAGTTGCGATGGTGTTTGTTTTCTTTGTGTTGAGGTGTAACCCATACTGAAGGCTGTAGTCTTTCATCTTCCTCACAAGTAACTGTTGAAGTCCTCTTTGCTTTCCCCAAGCAAAGTTGTGTCATCTGCATATCGCAGGTTGTTAATGAGTCTTCCTCTAGTCTTGATGCCACGTTTTTGTTCATATAGTCCAGCGTATCGGATTATTTGCTCAGCATATAGATTGAATAAGTATGGTGAAAGGATACAACCCTGATGCATACTTTGTCTGATTTTAAACCACTCAGTATCCCTTCTTCTGTTTGAATAACTGCCTCTTGGTCTATATACAGGTTCCTCATGGGCACAATTAAGTGTTCTGGAATTCTCATTCTTCACAGTATTATCCATAATTTGTTATAATACACACAGTCTAATGCCTTAGCATAGTTAATAAAACACACGTAAACATCTTTGTGGTATTCTCTGCTTTCAGCCAAGACCCATCTGACATCAGCAGTGATATCCCTGGTTCCACATCCTCTTCTGAATCCAGCTTGAATTTTTGGCAGTTCCCTGTCGATGTACTGCTTCAACCATTTTTGAATTATCTTCAGCAAAATTTTACTTGTATGTGATATTAATGATACTGTTCGATAATTTCTGTTGATCAGTTCTTTTTGGTACAGTGACTCTGGGTATTCCTTTCATCTTTTGATGCTTTTTGCATCCTTCAATATTTTGCCCATAGAATCCTTCAAAATTGCACCTTGAACCTTAAATCTTTTCTTCATTTCTTTCAGCTTGAGAAATGCTGAGCGTGTTCTTCCCTTTTGGTTTTCTTCCAGGTCTTTGCACATTTCATTATAATACGTTACTTTGTCTTCTCGAGCTGCCCTTTGAAATCTTCAGTTCTTTAACTTCTTCATTTTTTGCTTCCATTTTAGCTACTCTGTGTTCAGGAGCAACTTTCAGAGTCTCTTCTGACATCTACTTTTTTCTTTCTTTCCTGTCTTTTTAATGACCTTTTGCTTTCTTCATGTATGATGTCCTTGATGTCATCCCACAGCTTGTCTGGTGCTCGATCATTAATGTTTAATGCGTGAAATCTATTCTTGAGATGGTCTCTAAACTCAGGTGGGATATACTTAAGGTCATACTTTGGCTCTTATAGACTTGCTTTAATTTTCTTCAGCTTCAGCTTGAACTTGCATATGAATAGTTAATGGTCTGATGGTCTGTTCTGCAGTCAGCCCCTGGCCTTGTTTTTACTGATGATATTGAGCTTCTCCACGGTCTGCGTCCACAGATGTAGTCGATTTGATTCCTATGTATTTCTTCCGGTGAAGTCAACGTGTATAGTCACCGGTTTATGTTGTTGAAAACAATATTTACAGTGAATAAGTCTTTGGTCTTGCAAAATTCTATCATGCTATCTCTGGCATCGTTTCTATCACCAAGGCTATATTTTTCAACTACTGATCCTTCGTTGTTTCCAGCTTCCACATTCCACGCACCAGTAATTATCAGTGCATCCTGATTGCGTGTTTGATCAATTTCAGACTGCAGAAGTTGGTAAAAATCTTCAGTTTCTTCATCTTTGGCATTAGTGGTTGGTGTGTAAATTTGAATAATAGTTGTATTAACTGGTCTCCCTTTAACCCGTTGCCACTAAGTTGATTCCAACACATAGTGACCCTGTAGGACAGAGTAGAACTGCCCCATAGGGTTTCCAAGTAGCGGCTGGTGGATTCGAACTGCCGACATTTTGGTTAGCAGCCGTAGCTCTTAACCACTGCACCACCAGGGCTCTGGTCTCCCTTTAGGTGTATGGATGTTATCCTATCACTAATAGAGCTGTACTTCAGGATAAGTCTTGAAATGTTCTTTTTGACAGTGAATGCAGCGCCATTCCTCTTCAATTTGTCGTTTCCAGCATAATAGACCATGTGATTTTCCAATTCAAAATGGCCAATACCAGTCCATTTCAGCTTACTGATGCCTAGGATATTGATCTTCAAGCGTTCTATATCATTTTTGACAATTTCCAATTTTCCTAGATTCATACTTCGTACATTCTGCGTTTTGATTATTAATGGATGTTTGTAGCTATTCTCATTTTGAGTCGTGCCACATCCACAAATGAAGGTCCCAAAATCCACATCCATAAGATCAATTCTACTTTCAGGAGGCAGCTCTTCCCCAGTCATCTTTTGAGTGCCTTCCAACCTGAGGGGCTTATCTTCTGACACTGTATGAGTGTTCCCCTGCTATTCATAAGGTTTTCACTGGCCAGTTTTTCTAGAAGTAGATTGTCAGGTCCTTCTTCCTAGTCTGTCTTAGTTTGGAAGCTCCGCTGAAACCTGTCCACCATGGGTGACCATGCTGGTATTTGAAATACCAGTGGCATAGCTTCCAGCATCACAGCAACACGCAAGCCACCACAGTATGACCAACTGACAGATGAGAGGTGGTCAGCATATATAGAGTGTATTTAGTTCAGTTCATTGATGAGATGAAATTACCATGGAAGTGTGTAGCTAAGAAGCTGTAGCACAGAGCCCTGGCACATTCAGTGGTCAGAAGTTGGGGATATAGGTAGGCACTAGAAAGGAGACTAACGTTGCTGCCAGACCAGTAGGAATAGAGTCAGGATATTGCGTGATTGGAAGCCAGATGAAGCCTTGCAAGAGGAGCACACTAGCTGGGTAAGATGTTGCATTTAGGCCGAATAAACCCAAAAAAAACAAACCATTGCTATTGAGTTGATTCTGACTCATAGCAACCCTACAGGGCAGAGTAAAACTGCCCCATAGGGTTTCCAAGGAGCAGCTGGTGGATTTGAACTGCTGACCTTTTTGTTAGCACTCATAGCTCTTAACCACTGCACCACCAGGGCTCCTAGGTCAAGTAAGGTGAAGATTAACCATTGGCTATTTGATTTAACTGTGTGGGAATCATTAGTGACCTCAAAAAGCAGGTTGGTGCCTAGAGTCTGATAGCAGAGTGAATTCAAGATGGAAGGAAAGGATAGAAGCTCCATGTCTTTGAGTAGGTGAGGAGATTAAATGTAGTGCTCAAGAGAAGAGGTTGGCCTTAATCAAGAGCATGGTATTTCCCTGTTGACCAGGAGAGAGAGTAATCCCTGGGTGGTGCAAATGGTTAACTGTGCTCTGCTACTAACCAAAAGATTGGAGGTTTGAGTCCACCCAGAGATGACTTGGAAGAAAGGCCTGGCAGTCTGCTTCCAAAAAATCAGCCATTGAAAACCCGATGGAACACAGTTGTATTCTGACACACATGGGGTCACCATGAGCTGGAATCGACTCAACAGCAAGTGGTAAAAACAGGAGAGAAAACAACAGTATATGGGCACAGATGCAGATAGGTGTACAGATGCTACAGTGGGAATTTACAGAAGATTCTTGTGTTTTATTTTCTCATGAAATAGAAAGCAGTGTCATTAGCTGAGGGTGAGGGCGAGGATGGGATGTTGGCAGTTTGAAAAGAGGAGAAATGATATAGTTACTTGGGAGGGAAGGGGAATGATGAAAATGAGAAATAATGATATGATTGTTGGGGAGCATTAAGAACCCATTTGAGGTTAATTATCAATTTTAGAGATAATTCAACACGGTTCTGTAGATTCCCTAGCTCTGTTCAGGTGCTAGGCACTTCTTCATTCCATTGTATTTTTCAAAGGGGGGTTTTCAATGGCTTTACACCCTTAATTATTTTTTTAACAGCTTGGTTTTGGTAGAGTTTAAAAAGAGCAAGTTGCTTTTACCTATGTGGTAAGGCTAGTGTTTTTTTTTTTGCTTGATTATAAAATCAGTGTTTGTTAGCATGATTTTGTTATGAATATATTTGTAGACATTTGCAGCTAGAATGTATTTGATAGGTTATCAGTTTTCTTTTGAAGGTGCATTCAGCCCGTTCCGATTATTTAAATGGTCTTTTCTTTGAACTTTGCATTTTATAGGCTAACTAAAAATATACCAGGTAACTGAGGACGTTCTGTAATGTCCAATTCCAGGAGATGAACTTTTTAATTTTAATTTGGTGTCTGGTGAAATAACACTTGTTTCATAGATGTGTTTATGTTTTTCTGTTGTAGGAAACCCAGCGTTTGCTGGCAGAACCAGTTCCTGGCATTAAAGCGGAACCAGATGAGAGCAACGCCCGTTATTTTCATGTGGTCATTGCTGGCCCCCAGGATTCCCCCTTTGAGGGAGGGACTTTTAAACTTGAACTGTTCCTTCCAGAAGAATATCCAATGGCAGCCCCTAAAGTACGTTTCATGACCAAAATTTATCACCCTAATGTAGACAAGTTGGGAAGAATATGTTTAGATATTTTGAAAGGTAAGTGTTATCTTTATCATTATTAAGACTTCCTTTCTCTTAATCATTCCATATTTAGAATGTAAATATTGTAATCTTACCTTACATAAAGACTGTAGAGGTTTGTGGGAGGGAAGTGCAGCAGTTCTGGGGCTGTTTTTTATGCTTTATCACACTGGGCCTGTTGCCTTTATAGATAAGTGGTCCCCAGCACTGCAGATCCGCACAGTTCTTCTATCGATCCAGGCTTTGTTAAGTGCTCCCAACCCAGATGATCCATTAGCAAATGATGTAGCGGAGCAATGGAAGACCAACGAAGCCCAAGCCATAGAAACAGGTATTTAACGTTCTTCTCCTTCATAGTAATTCCACTTTTTAAAACAAATTTGTATTACCTTTTTAAAAAATGTTTTTTTAAGGTCTTGGCAAAAACAAAAACAAAAGTATTACAGAAAAATGAGATCCTGTTTATAGTTTAGAAATATCTCTTTAACAAAAGATGTTCAAGCTCCATCTGATGGCATGCTACATGACCCCTAAATTTAGACAACCTCTGGTTCTTCTTGGACTTCTTTATAGCTACACCTGATTTTACAGGTACTTACTGAGTGTCCACCATTTGTCGAGTAATATGTAAAGATACTTGAAAATTTTTGAACTCTTGTGCTGTTTTTGTAGTTCTTAAGATCCATTTGATTAAAGTATGTAGAGTTTGGAGTCAACAAGCTTCTTCCTTCTGCAAATTTTAACAAAATTATTGAGGAGCATTATGTGTGCAGAAATGAAGGGTACAGCTCTGCATCACGTTGAATTTTGTAGAACGTCTGAATTTTATTGTAGTTTTTTGGTTGGTAGACATAAGGAAAATCTTTCAGCCCTGATCCAGTTTATAGAAAATAGCATGAATTTAAGAAATTACAGAATGACCTTTCCATAATTAAATTAATAGTATTCGTTTGCTGTTTATAGAGTTTGGAAAGTAACATTGAACTTAGTAAGTAAAATAATAATTGCATGTTTGTTTTTGTCTACAGCTAGAGCATGGACTAGGCTATATGCCATGAATAATATTTAAATCAATCTGATCATCAAGTGTGCATCACTTCTCCTGTTCTGCCAAGACTTCTTCCTTTTTTGTTTGCATTTAATGGACACAGTCTTAGAAACGTTACAGAATAAAAGCCCAGACATCTTCAGTCCTTTGGTGATTAAATGCACATTAGCAAATCTGTCTTGTCCTGATTCACTGTTGTAAAGCATGAGCAGAGGCTAGAAGTATCATCTGGATTGTTGCAAAACACTTAAAAGCAGTGGCCCTTCTCTGCTTTTATTCATTTCTCCCCCATCATGGTTTAAGTATAAAGCACTGTGAATGAAGGTAGTTGTCAGGGTTAGCTGCAGGGGTGTGGGTGTTCTTCTTTATTTTATTTTTTTTTGAGGGGGGAGGTAGTTTTGTTTTAAATTTATGGACTCCTCTCCCCCTTTTTATGGTGATCTAATTGCATTGGTCAAAAGCAGGTAACCAGTTGTTCTTTAGAATATACCCTCTAGCCAAGTCTAACTTTATTTAGACGCTGTAGATGGACAAGCTTGATTGTTTGAACCAAAATGGGAACTTTAAACATCACAGCCCTCACTAATAACATTGTGACTTTGCCGTCAAGTGTAGAATCCTCCCTTTAAGAAAAAGCTTGTGACCGTTTTGTATGGCTTGTCTGGAAACTTCTGTAAATCTTATGTTTTAGTAAAATATTTTTTGTTATTCTACTTTGCCTTTGTACAGTTTATTTTACTGTGTTTATTTCACTTTCCTAATGTGACAATCGTATTTAAAAATTAAAACTCTGATAGAACATTCTGTTTGGGTCTTCACCATCTGACAAGTTGAATAGCAAGAGGTGGGTTTTGCCAGTGTCTTTTCACTGATACAGATATATTTTACGATATTACTGAATGGAGTTATTTATAAACTGGCCCTGAGCATGCATAAAGCATCAGTATCTGACAGTTTTTCCTCTTAGAAATTTAAAGTAAATGTGCTTATCTTGTCTTACTAGATGACCGTTGGTGTCTTGCCCCACTATGTTTGTAAATTACTGTACCAGGAGAGTCACAGCAAAGAAGCAGTTGTGACTGATATGTAGGACTTTAACATGTGCCATGTATGGGTTATGACATTTTTCTTAGTTCTTGTCTGAAAACTTTATGTAAGACCACAGGTCTGTGTTATTAGGAAACAGTGATCTGATAATCATTTGGGGTTTGCTGAGGCGTAATTAGTCTTCCTTATAGACCTGATGAGCAAATCTCAAGCACCCAGCTTGCAAAGTGTCATCAGAACAGTTTCTTTTCTTTGATAGCATCAGATCCTCTGTTAATTCTTGCTTTCATTCCTCCAGTATTTGCTATGGGAGCTCCTTTTATCCTTTAATTTGATATTCAGAATTTTTTTTTCACTGACAGTTTCTCCCTCAGCCCTACAAAACTGTTCTTTCCCATCCCCTCCATATTTGATTCCAGATTCTTGTTATTTTTAAGTCAGAAATGTATCCCATCATAAGTATGTAAATGTTAACCTGCAGGTTGAAACCTTTGTTTCTTGTGGTTTAAGGTAATGGATATTGTAGCCCATCTGAATTTTCCCTCCTCTTATTCTCATAACTTCTGGAGTTTCTTCAGAATGTGGTGTATTTTATTGTGCTCCTATGTAAGATGAAGAATTATCTATTAAAATTACATTTTCAACATACAAAAGCTTTTGATGACTGGTAACTGATATCCTTTCAAATAAGTGCATTGCTTGGTAACAAATGTTAATTTGGATAAAAAAATTTTGTAACCGTAATCTTGTAAATTCAAAAACTATTCACAGCAGTTGTAATTTATAACAGTTTTTGAATTGTTCAGAGGGCATCTTTGGCTGCACATAAAGAAACTGAGTCTCGCCCTAAAGTAAAAATGAATGAACATTCCTTGGGACTTTGAACAGTTAAAATAGAGATCACCTTTATTTACTGCAGGTAGCACTGCTCATGATGGTAATAGTTAGTGTCACTTAGTGATTTACAAGTTATAAAGTTCCACATTAATTCTTTTACACTACAAAAATCTGTCTTTCTAAAATAGAACTCTGATATCTACTGAGTTCGTGACATTATAGAAGTACAGAAATAATTCATTGTTTTCATTTCAAGTATGTTAATTCCCAATAATCATGGCATCACATTTTTTCCTTTGTAATTTTGATAAGAGTCCTGACTTTCTCAGCTAGCAGAACTTTGGATGAAGCAAGAGTCAGTGTGTTGACCAATCTTCCTTAGGACTGAAGGGGCTCTTGAGAGGCCAAGGCAGAGGCTGAAAACTGGCAGCTATATCTGTATATCTGACCTGTGGGCCCATGCGGTATGGTTTAAAATTTTGAATTAGATGCCAACATTTTTATAAAACAGGAGATTCACATGAAAATCCAGAATTCTGATACTTTTTGAATGATCTGAAGATCTGGCAACAGTGGATCCACTTTTTTGCATAGCACCAACTGGGAGGAGCTGAGTAGCAGCCACCCTAAGAAAAACATGTCATTCTCTTGTCCAGTTACTCCCCAACTGGACAGAGTTGTCTTAGTTTTCTAGTGCTGCTATAACAGAAATACCACAAGTAAATGGCTTTAACAAATTTATTTTCTCAAAGTTTCAGAGGCTTGAAGTCCAAACTCAGGTGCCAGCTCTAGGGGAAGCCTTTCTCTCTCTCTCGGCTCTGGAGGAAGGTCCTTATCTCTTCTGAATTTCTGCTCGTTGGCAATCTTCATGTGGCTTGGCATCTCTCTTCCCCCATCTCTGCCTCTCTTGCTTGTTAAATCTCTTTTATATCTCAAAAAGATTGAGTTAAAACACAACTTACACTAATCCTGTCTCATTAACATAAGAAAGACAAACCATTCTCAGGTGGGATTATAACCACAGGCATAGAGGTTAGGATTCACAACACATAATTTTGGGGGACACGTTTCAATCTATTACAGAGTCCCCTCCCAGCCCACGTGTTCCTTTATGTTGTAACATCCCCTTGTAAGTCGTGGGCTTTGTAACCCCCGAGTTGAAGGAACCTAATAAATGAAAGTGTTTAATATGTGCCCAACACCATATTACTTGAGGATGACTGAGTGAATGAGACTGACAATGAGGCCTTCCCTCGTGGACCTTATGAACTAATGGGAGAGGCATGGACAAATAGCAGTTGCAACTTTGCTGTGGGCAAGGGAAGTACTTCTGGAGAGGTCAGTATTCTGGATTCAAGCCTGATGGACACCTCCAGGTAGAAGGAACACCATGTGCAAAGGCCTGGGAGAGAAGAATCTGAATATATCAATAAGTGGTGTTTTGAAAACTCTGCCCTTTCAGGGGCTTTTCTGGAATTCTGAGATGTTTATTTGAGATTCATGGTTTTATTTGATTTTTGTTTTGTTACAGTGTACTTTGCTGTGATTTGCTTCTGCACTATTCTTGGTTCTCTCAGAGGCTGCCTGATAATAGATCTGAAGTGTATGGAACTTAACCCTTGCTCTAGACCAAGAATGCACTTGTAAAATAATTTCAGAAGAAGCCTTTTAAAATAAGATTAAGTAGAAATTAACATCTAAAAGCCACAGGTGTTATGGTTTAATACTGCTTAAGGAGAGTGTTGGGAAGGAAATCTGGTACCCAACAAGATCTTCTAAACACTTAAACAGATGGAACTAAAATGGTGTCATGGGAGCATTGATGGTTTAGGAATCTTTTTTGGCTACTCTAGCCATATGTCAATTTTTTGTTAATTGTAGTAGCAAAAGTTAAAAATACAATTATCTAGAAAAGCTGGCAAAAACATAAAATGTCATGATAAGGTAACTACTTCATTAATCTATTTAAGAAAAATTTAATATTTCATTGGTGTAATATACTTTTGGGCTGGGGGCAACAGTTTCATGACCACTGACTATAGCATGCTGCCTAGCTTAAGGAATTATATCAGGGGTTTATTTTTTAATGCCTTAATGATCACAAAAGCAAAACATGATGGATGTAATAATTCGAAATAAATATAAAGAATAAAAATCTGTAATCTACCATACAAAGACTAGTGATAACTTTGTATTTCCATAACTGTATCCCCCACCCTGTGTTAATTTCCATTTTCTTATTATTGAGGTTGGAAATTGGGAGGATTTGTTCTGAGAGTTGGCTTTGTTATAGTTTTATGCTACAAATTGGGTCAAGTTCCCATTGGCTGCAAAACTTGGAGCTGGACTAAAAATTGTTTCTGTTAAGTGCGAAATGCAACATGAAGATCTTGAGTCCTCCTTCCGACTCCCACCCTCGACCCCTCCTCCCAGTTTTCATCTTTGCCATCCTTCAGCTGATTCATCTGTGTCTGTTGATATGGCATTTTAAGTGCATGAATGTAGAAGTGATTCAGGGACTCTACTGACTTGACGATGTTAATTTTTTTTGGTTTCTGTTGGATTCTAGAAGCATGTAGTAACTGCTGGAATTTTTAGACTTTGCTTATTTCTTGTAGCAGAGCAACACCTGAAATCTCATTATCTTGTAAAAATAAAGTTAGGAGTGTTAGCATTTCTTCTCTGTCAACCATTGGTCTCTATGGGACAATAAAATGTTTTAGAAACTAGAAAAGATTAATAGCTTCATGTTCCTACCACCCAAAGTAAATAACTAGCATATTTCATTTTTTTAAAATACTGACCTAGTCTTGTCTACCACGTGACTCCTTTTGAAATAGCTCCATGATCTAGATTAGTAAACTCCCAGTAAGTTTTAAGTTTCATTATACCTTGTTGTTAGGTGCCGTCGGGTGGGTTCCAACTCATAGTGACCCTATGTACAATAGAACAAAACACTGCCTGGTCTTGCGCCATCCTCATAATCATTGTTATGCTCGAGCCCATTGTTGTAGCCACTGTGTGAGTCCAACTAGTTGAGGGGTCTTCCTCTCTTTTGCTGACCCTCTACCAAGCATGATGTCCTTCTCCAGGGACTGGTCCCTCCTAATAACATGTCCAAAGTATGTGAGACAAAGTCTTGCCATCCTTGCCTCTAAGGAACATTCTGGCTGCATTTCTTCCAAGACAGATTTGTTCGTTCTTTTGGCAGTCCATGGTATATTCAGTATTCTTCACCAACACTGTAATTCAAAGGCTTCAATTTTTCTTCAGTCATCCTTGTTCATTGTCCAGCTTTTGCATGCATATGAGGTGACTGAAAACACCATGGCTTGGGTCAGGCACACCTTAGTCCTTAAAGTGAAATCTTCGCTTTAAAAAAAAAGTCAAAGATAACCTAGCTAGTTTACAGATGTTTCTGGTTTAAGTTCAAGAGTAGACTACTCATACTTCCTCAGACTTAGCAAAAGCAACTTACACATTATAGGCTGCACTAGATTTGAACTTAAGTTTTGGCTGGAAGCATTAGGACTATGAGTAACCCAAGAACTAGAGGCAAATTCTTGCAATTGGGTTTTTTTCATCTAAAACAGTAAATATTTTAGGCTTTCTGGGCCATGGGGTTTCTCAACAACTGCAGTTGTAATGTGAGAGCAGCCACAGGCAATTTGTAAACAAATGGCTATGCTGTGCGCCAATAAAACTTTAATTTTCACATGTCATGAAGTATTTTTTTCAACCACTTAAAATGTAAAAGATACTCTAAACTTATGGGCTGTACAAAGGAAGAGGGTGGACTGGATTTGGCCTGTAGGCCATAATTTGCCTAACCAATTGCCATACAATTGATTCCAACTCGTGGCTCCATGTGTTCCAGAGTAGAACAGTGCTCCATAGGGTTTTCAATGGCTGTGATCTTTTGGAAGTAGATTGCCAGGACTTTCTTCTGAGGTTCCTCTGGGAAGATTCAAACAGCCAACCTTTAAGCTAGTAACTTAGTGTTCAACTTTTTAAAATTAGCATTATTGAAATGGACCTCCACTGTGGCAGCACATCTGTTCGGTAACCCCATAGTATATACAGAATAAAAAACCCAAAACCAAACCTGTTGCTGTCGAGTCAATTCTGACTCATAGCGACCCTGTAGGACAGAGTGGAACTGCCCCATGTGGTTTCCAAGGAGTGCCTGGTGGATTCGAACTGCCGACCCTTCAGTTAGCAGCCATAGCTCTTAACCACTATGCCACCAAGGTTTCATTTTCATATACTGAATAGATGTACATAATTTAATCCCTTCATCTGTACACTTAAATTGATACCAATTTCACCAATTCTGCAATACACATCTCTGACCATATTTTTATTGTACAACTTGTACAATTATGTTTATTTTTTAAAAATTTTATACAGTGCTTTAGGTGAAAGCTTACTGAGCAAATCAGTTTTCCATTCGATAAGTTTGTACATAAAGTGTTCCATGACATTGGTTATATTCACCTCAGTGTGTCAACACTCTCTCCATTTCTGCCCTGGGTTCCTCGTTTCCTTTTGTCTAGTTTTTCTGCTCTTTCCTGGCTTTGCAACTCACCAGAGTAGAATACAGAACATTGTCTTTATAACTGTGTTGTGCCACTTGATGTAGATGTCCCCTGAGTCTCTGGAACTTCGTCTTCAAACCTAGGAACTGTCCAGTGAGGTTTTTGGTTATGTCTAAGAAGTTTCCATGACTGTGCCCCTTGTGTGCTCTATTGTCTATATGAATACATATGCAGCACCTACAATGATGTCTGCAGAAATATCCACAACCAAACCTATATCTGCAGGTGAGTGTGCTCCCTTACACCCTCCCACACCTCTTTAACATACCTA